TGAGCTCCCGCCACCAGCTATGTCTTTTAGTGGCATATATCCATAGCCACTTTGTCAGGAATGCTCTATTGAAAGTATCCATGTCGAAAATGTCGAGACCTCCATTAGCATTTGAGGCCTTGCAAAGCTCCCAAATTAACAATTGGTGTTCTGTGTACGTAACCTGTACCACTCCATAGAAAATTCCTCATCATTTTTTCCATCCTGCCCGTGACTTTTTTGTGTGCTTTGAACAGAGAAAAGTTGTGAACTGGAAGAATGGATAGAACCGCCTTGTTAAGGGTTAATCTGGCTCCATAGGAAAGATACCGTCACATCCATTCTTCAAGTTCAGATTGAAATTTGTTAACCACAGGATCCCAGATGTTGGCAGAGTTCGTTCTCCCACCAAGGGGGAAGCCAAGGTAAGTTAGCGGGTCTCTGCTCCACTTGCATCTGAAGATCGCAGCATAATAGCTTGGATTAGGTACATCACCGACGGTGTACATCACATATTTGTTTAGATTGATCTTCAATCCCGTAACCGTTTGAAAACAGACAAGAGTGGCCAGAATGTTTAGATATTGCAGGTGGGAGACGTCACAGAAAATAAGTGTATCATCCGCAAACAAAATATGAGTAACTTCCCCACTTCTTTCATTCTCGTTCATACAAAAACCTTCAATCTTGTTGTCCTCCTTCAACTAGGATAACATAAAAGATAAGACATCCATGATCATTGCAAATAGTCCTGATGAGAGTGTGTCTCCCTGGCGAAGACCTTTATGACCCTATAAGAAGCCATTAGCTTCACCATTAACGAGTATAGAGAAAAATGGTGAACGCATACAACCCCTTAATCCAGTGGAAAACCGATTCTCGATAGGACCTTGAAGAGACATCCCTAATTGACGTTGTCAAAAGTTTTCTCAATATCAAGTTTAAGCATTAGTCCGGGTCTTCTGTTTTTTTGACGACTGTCAACAAGTTCATTTGCGATGAGACTAGCTTCAGATATTTGTCTTCCCTTAGTCAATGCCTGTTACTGCCTAAAAATCAATTTCGGAAGAACTATATCCATTCTGCGAGCCAACACTTTATCGAATATCTTATTGATGCTGCTCAAAAGACAAATGGGCCTGAGATCCTTAATCTCCTCAATCGTATCTTTCTTGGGTGTAAGACAAATAAAATAGTACGTATCACTCTTGGGAAGGCGGCATGTTTGATGAAATTCGTTAAATCCGTTCATAATGTCTCCTCTCAACCAAAACCAACGCCTTTTTATAGAATTCCATAGATAAATCTGTCTTGTCTCAGTGCCTTACTACCGTCGCAATCGATGAGAGCAGCCCATATTTCTTGCTCTGTAAAGGGGCAGCAAAGCAAATTTTTCTTAGTATCATCCAATACATTACTAAAGAAGTAATGAGGAAAGGGACAGTAGTTGATATTTTTCTTGAGAAGTTCTTGATAGTGGTTAGTGATTGCCTGACCCAATGCATCTCTACCTTCCACCATAATCTATCTATCTATCTATATATATCTATCTATCTATCTATCTATACTTAATATTATGGCTATTCAAAAGTAACTTCTTGCCACATAAGCACTTGGTGAATTCACAATATGCCAAGGTGGACAATTTTTTAACAAACAAAAATTTATTTATTGATCTATTTATCGAACTATCTCTCTCTTCTTTTAATACTTCTACTCATTTTTACTAAACTTAAAATAAGGTACATTTTTTGTGACACATTTAAACAAACAAACACACATAAGTAATAATCTTTTCTTCAATTAAACAAACTATAAAAATGAAAATAGAGAGTGACAGTTTAACCCAAAATATCTTATTAAATCTCATTAAGTAAATTTTCTATTCATTTTCACTAAAAATTTATAATAAGTTACATTTTGATGGAAAAAAGCAAGCACACATATGAATAATGATAATTTTTCAATTAAAAAAATTTAAACGATGGCCTAGGAGAAAATGAGCGTTTGACAATCAATCGTTTTTAAAAAATGAACTACATGAATATATTTTTTGTTATCAAACACTCACTTCTTCCTAATGAATATACTTATAAAATAAAACAAGTATAATTTATATAGAAAAAGGCTTGAAGATAAATTTGACATAGCAATAATTGTTATTTTTTTAAAACACTTCTTATTCATTTCGTTTAAATCAAAAACATATTAATTATGAATACAAACTTTTAATTTATCTCTACCATTTTTCCATTTTGATTGTCTCTCTAGAAATAAAATCCAACATTGAAAATAAGAAATTAGATAAAGAAGGAAATTGTAATGCATATGAAGTTTTTTTTTTCTTTGTAGGAGAATAGGAGGAGGGAGGTACACGAGAAAACGATTAAATAGAAAATTTTTGAGCAGTTGTAACATATTTTTGCCTGTTGATAAAAGTAGTTCATCCTATCATTACGAAGACGAGGTGAACCAGTAGCGTAGTTAGGATTTCATCTAAGGTGGGTCCACTTAGAAGAAAAATACACCTGGTAAAATAATTTTTGTTAACTTTGCGAATCATTCATGACATAATCTTATATTGGAAAATTTTGGTTAAATAAAATAGATTAGCAGTCGAAAGTATCAAGAATATTACTTTATATACCAAACAATTATTAATGATTTAGTTAGTCGTTCTGTTTCGTATGATGTTCTTTATAAAAAAAACATTAGTATCTATAACTCGAGTTGTCAAGAGATATTTAATAATAAATCTTACACCAAACAATAATTCATGATTTGGTTAGTCATTCGCTTACAAATGATGTTATTTGTCAAGAATCTTTTTGAATCAATAAAGTGAGTTGTTGGAAGAGGTTCAATAATATATCTTATACTATTTACTAGCACGATCCCTCATATAAGAAAGTCAACTTATAGAAAAATGAAGTTTGCACAAATCTGTATACCGTGTACTTAACAAATGAGGTCGCCAAAATTTTGAACAAAAAATCTTTCGATCAACTATTCTCAATTAAATACCCCTGATTTTCTATATAAATTAACTATTGTACCTAATTGAACAATTTTCCTTCCGAGTCAGGGTGGTCCCGGGACCCACCCTGTTGTATTCTCCCTCCGCCACTAAGGTGAACCAAACCAAGGATTGTCGACTGCTCCCTCTTCCTCCTTGATCTGAAGCTCGCAACTACTATTTTTTCCATTATTTTCCTGATTTCTTCCAAATTAAAACTGATGGATGGTATATTTCCCTACTTGATGAGCGAATTTATTTATTCTTCGTTTTCACGGAGTTATTTTATGTTCTCTATTACGTCATATACTTTTATGTAAATAGGTAATATATGATTAGAAAGGATAATTGGTTGGACTTAGAGCATATGTCATTTGGTTGAATAATTGATTTTTACTTAAATGCCTATTGCAACCCGGTTCTTTAGATGTTGAAATGGAAAGTGGAGTTGTGAGGGTTTTTCATTATATTCCTTATGTTCATGATTGACATGGTACTAGCTAGCTATAAGATGAAGATCTGGTTAATAATTAGTAGGTAGCAATGGGATTATATGTAGAAGGAAACATAATTGGGGGTTTTATAAAGGTCGTGAAGAAGAAAGAAAATGACTGTGGCGGTTCCTCGATTGTGTATTTTGATATTTTTTTCAATTTCCACACATTTGCAATGACATTTGTTTGTTTCATTAGGGTGAATTTCTCCTCATTAAATCCTTAACTAAAGCTTGATTTTGACATGATTATTTTCTTACCAACTACTATTTTGATTGGTGCATAGATTCAGTTCACAAATTAGAAATCTGCAAGATAGAATGAGTTGAGTTGTATTGAAGTACGCTCTTTTCATTATTTGTCTATGTTGTTATTAGGTAAAAAAGCACTATTTTTTCCTTTAGGAGATATGCAGCTCTCTATAAATTATAAATTGTGTTTATATGAAGTTTAGTTTGTTGAAAATATTGTTTTAATAAATTAGTGACAACTGATAGTTCTGTTTGTGGTTGGTTTTTCTAGAACATTGACAAGATAAATTAATTGAGTATCCAGAAGACTGATGGATGCGGATGCTAATGTATTTCATCATTATTCCAGAATTGCAGGTGTAACTGATAATACACGATATTCGTGAGATCTAGATCGAAATATTCTCTATTATCATATACCAACATAGGAGAAGGGAAAGAAAATGAAAAGCTCTACACTTATTTTTTTATCATCGAAACTTATTTTCTTATCCTAACTTCTTCGTTTTTTTACCTTAAATTTTTAACTTCTTTATCACTTTTTTGAGCTCGATACAAAATTTTAAATCAATAAAGAACGGTATACAAAGAGCTCAGTTAATACAATTAAATTTTTCATAAATAAAAAAGGTATAAAAGTATGAAACATTACCTAAATAAGGTAAGTGAGATTTACAATTTCATGTATATTAAATCAACAAACATAAATGATAATAATAATTAGAATACTATAATAAATTTTAAAATAATCAAATGTAATGCACTGCCCAACGGGTGGGTAAAAAACTAGTACCATTGATTTTGATTCTTTCAAATTTATTCAATTTCCTCTTGTAGTTGGCGAATCTGTGAAAATAACCAGAAGTTCCTCATACTTCTCACCATATTTGCACCCCAGCCCTACTATATTTGTACCCGCCACTTTTTAATCCAAACAACAATTTATCCATCAACATACACCCTCCACCAATTTGTACGCCCCTGTAATTTACTCCTCAACTTGCACCCTTCTCGAGTTTGCACCCCCCCCCCCCCTTATTAGGGGTGGGCATTGGTTCTGTTCGATCGAAACTGAACCGAAATTAAGCATATCGGTCCCCAAAGTAGTCCAGGGAGCAAACCGAATTCAAACCGAAATATAATTCGGTTAGGTTCATCCAACCTGAATTATATATTTCGGTTCATCCGAATCGAATTATATTCTGGTTCGGTTTTAAGACAACAACCGAATATATATAAAGCTACTCTCTCCCCCCTTGCTTACCTTAATTATCTTCCTGTTTGCCATTTCTGCTAAGAATAGAATCCGAGCCTCAAATTAATCTCTTTCTCTCTCTCTCTCTCTTGACGCATATCACAATGCAACACCAACGATGGCTCTGCCGTCTCCGAGACTCTTTCCCATCCCACCTCCTCAATTTTCCTTCTTCTTCGCCTTCTCATTCACTCGGAAAAGGGTCTCCATTTCTCCTCCTCACAACCTATTCCTTCTCCCTCTGATGCATGTGGTATTTATCCTTGGATTTGGTTTTATGGTCTTGGGGAGGGACGAAGGATGGTCATAGAGATCGACAACGGAAGGGTAGGGTCATGGCGCCGCCCCGACGGCGGCAGAGGCCACTGACGACACATGCGCGGTCGCGGTCGGCGAGAGCATATTTGTATCTCTCCTCTTAGGTAAGTTTGATTCGATTTTTTTCTAGGCTTGCTAATATGAGCTTTTGTTTTTTTTTTTTTTTTTGATTTTATGGGTTTAAACTTTAAATGGAGGGTGAGGACAAGTGAATCCAAGAGCGGCGACTGTTGGGGAGTTGTTTTGTGATCAGCAAGCAAGAGGCTGAGATGAGAGATGACGGAGCAAGAGGGTAGGAGAGCGGCGGCCGTTGGAGAGCTTTCCCACGGCATGTTTCGTTCTTTATTTTCGTAGGGTTAGCAGAGAGTGTGGGCTTTGTGTGGGTAAGATGTTTGGGCTTTGGTTAAGGTGAGGCCATGAGGCATGAGGGGTGAGGTCTGATATGTGGGCTGGTTATGTGAAATCGGTTATCCGGTTCGCTGATCGAAATTTTGTTTCGGTTGAGAGGAACTTAGTTTTCGAAATATACCTATTTTCCTTCCGAATTCCGAATCGAGCAACAATGTTTTGGTTTTGTTTTGGTTTGGTTTGAATTTAGTTCGGGTTTACCGAACCGGTCGCCTATCCCTACCCCTAATTGCCAAACATAGTGTTAGGGTATACCCAAACATAATCATGTCAGGCAAAGGAAGTGTTTTGCTTTGGATGTCAGTTTTTATAATTGATCCATTCTTGGTATGGTTTGTCACTTAGTCAATACATGTGAAGATTAATTTATTTTTATTTTTTGTTGTTAAATTTGTACTAGAATACATGGATTACCTCTTTATGGGCCCACCTACAATCACTGAGTGATTATCAATCTCTACCAAAAGGTTATATTGTTAACGAGAGATTGTCAACCCAATTTTAGTTTAATCTTTGTCTCTTACAACTTTTCTCTATTCCAAAAGTGCCCTCTTCTACAACTCATCTCTCTTTGGTAAATGAATGGCAAATATGTCATTGCTTATGAAAAATATACTACCTTTAATTTATAATAAAAACACAATTTGAACCTCCAAACAAGGTATTTTTCAAATTCATACATTTAATCAATGTATCATATTATAATACACAAATTGATTAAATACATCAATTTGGAGAATCCCAACCTCCAAACGACCCCTAATGTTGTATGTAATGAATTATGAATAGATGTATCGTATGGAAATTGTTGCGTTTGTTTTAGAATTAAATATAAAACATGTATTTGATTATTGTCATGACACTTGAAATCATTCAAAATGAGTGATTTAAAATCTCAACTTGTTGTTCATAATGTATTTTGAGATTGTAAAATCATTATTCTTTTCATTTAAAAAGTGACTCCCCTATTTTATTCCTCAAAACTATAATCACAACTATCATATGTAATTTTAAGTCAAAATACAGTTGTATATCCACAACTATAAAGTTTGTGACAAATATATCCACAACTATCGAAATACACGAAATATCCAAAAATCGGAAGGTTGTGTGACAAATCTATCCGCTTTCGTTTGAAATTATAACGGTGTGTCAGCCGACGTTAAATTGACTAACGGAATGGTGAATCGATGCCATCTCACCTGCCACATAAGCCAAAAAGCAACCAAACTTTACACGTAGATGCCAAATAGGCTAGTTGAATAAAGGCAAAATACAGCCGTATATCCACAACTATCATGTTTGTGACAAATATATCCACCACTATTAGGTTTGTGACAAATATATTCACAGCTATCGAAATACACGAAATATCCATTTCCGTCCACTCCGTTAATCCCGTCAGTTAACTTGATAACTGGACAGACGGTGGATACTTAGTTGGCGTGTTTCTGACCCAACTGAATGACGTGGATTAAAAGAGAATTTTTTTAAAAACCCTAAAAACCAAAGACGTTGAGACTAAAAATCAGCCCAGAAACACGCCCGATAACCATTGATCATCCTCCAATCGACGCCTCCACCCCCAAATAACCCTACCCCAAGCCCAGATTTTGATTCCTACCACAATCCCCAACCATTGCCTCCCTTTTACTCCGACGGCTTCCATGCAGTCGGCGCCATGGTGATACCAAGCTTGAATCTCAAACAAAAAAAGCTTGAATCTAACCAAATCGCCAACAGAGAAGACTGCAGCAGCGAGGTCTAACAGATAACGGTGTAAAGTTTGGTTGCTTTTTGGCTTATGTGGCAGGTGATATGGCATCGATTCATCATTTCGTTAGTCAATTTAACGCCGTCTGACACGTCGTTATAGTTTCAGACGAAAGTGGATAGATTTGTCACACAACCTTCCGATTTTTTGATATTTCGTGTATTTCGATAGTTGTGGATATATTTGTCACAAACCTGATAGTTGTGGATATACAACTATATTTTGCCTAAAATTTTTTTCTCTTTTAATCCACATCATATAGTGGGGTCAGAAACACGCCAACTAAGCATCCACCCTCTGTCCAGTCATCAAGTTAACTAACGGAATGGGCGGAAATGGATATTTCGTGTATTTCAATAGTTGTGGATATATTTTTCACAAACCTGATAATTATGGATATATAGTTGTATTTTGCCTAATTTTAAAATGCACTATATAACAAATACATCCATGTATAATGGTTGTATTCATAGAATACATCGATTCTAACAATTACAAATACCAAACTACTCAGATTTGTTTGTCAATTTGACCGTTTGTGCTAAGTAGTCGATTCCCCCCTCCCCACCCAAGATATAACAAGAGAACATTAGAAAGAATAAAAAAGCAAACATCATTTAAGAGGAACCCTCCCAAAGCACCATATTAGTGCAGTCAAGCTAAAAAATCAAAGAAAACTAACTTTGGAGGAGACAACAATAGGACATTAAGTGCCACTTTATGTGTAGTCACTTTACGACTTGTGATACTGACCTAAAAACTACACAATCCAAAAGCGCACTAACAAGGCCTAGGTTTCCTGCCGAAGCGCCCCTGCGGCGGAGCATGCCACTGGATGCTTGCTGTCATGCGGCTACTCCCTGTCTCCCGACTACTAGTTCCCAACATAGGAGAAATACATGGGGCTTGTTTGGTTGTAGATTTGTACAAAAAATTTCAGCACAATCTCTCGTTTTGCTGGATTTTGAAAGAATTTTGTGTTTATGGAGGGCTAAAAATGAGGAATTTTAGGTATACCACATTTCAAAAGGTGTCCGATTTATTAACATTATAAGTAAAAATTAGCTTTTATTGATAAGATCTTCTAGGTATTTTCATTCTTATCAAATGCAGAGTTATTTTATGAGAAGGAAAAATAAAATAAAAAATAAGAAGTTTTTACAACTGTCGTCAAAGGCGGAAAAAATAAAAAAACTAAAATAGAAGACAACAAAGCAGTGTTATTAAAGCCGGACCAGTACAACTGATACCCGACCTCCAATCCGGTCCGCAAAACACAAAAAGTCGCAGCAGTCAGAAAGGGCGACCAGTGAGCGGCTGGAAAGGTTAACCGTTCGAACCGCTCGAATCGTCTGACCGGTTTTGGACTTATGACGGTCCGGTATTCAAAAACTTTTTAAAAAATTAAAATTGAAAATTGTTGGGTTTTGGAACTGAAAGGGAGATATGATGTGTCTTTGAAGATCTGTGGAGGGATCAGTGACGGCGAGTAGAAACTTCTAGCGTTTTGTTTAAAGTCTTCAAGATATCCAATCTTTTATCCAATGCCTTTCCTTTGTAGAAAAACATACATACTTTCATGTGGTAGAGGTCCCTCGGTTCGAATCTCATCCATGCTTCTCGAATTGAGCTCCAAAGTAGGCTTCCCAAACACATTCCCAGACTTACCCTCTACGAATAGCAACTTCGAGCGTTTTGTTTAAAGCCTTCAAGATATCCAATCTTTCATCCAATTCCTTGAATTTGTATACAAACATACCTACTTTCATGTGGTAGAGGCTCCTGGACTCGAATCTCATCCATGTTTCTCGAATTGAGCTCCAAAGTAGGCATCACAAACATGTTCTCAGACTTAGCCATTTTCAGGCAGTTTCCCAGTTTTGGCATAGCCTATTGATCAGGTTCTAAAATGGTTTTTATGAACTTCTAATCAAGCTCCAAAGCACTTCAATGTATAGAGGGACACTCCAGCTTCAAAACAAGCCATTAATCGTCAATTTCCATCTAGCCAATTGTAAGATATGAATCTCCAAAGTAGGCACCATGAAACTGTTTTTAAACTGAAACAACAGATTAGGTCGACCTAATCCTAACTGAAGTCGACCGAAAAGTGCAAGTTACGGGACTTGCTACTTGCATTGCACCATAGGCGCACCCAAATAATTAATATATAAATCCCACTAATTCCGTGGGAAAAGAATTCAACTAATTAGTTTTTGTAAAGAGATTTTATCTTATTAGTTAGGTTTTATTTGAATAATTTTGTTGTTATGGCTTATTGTGCTTATGATGTTCCTAGTACCTATACTCTTGTCGTTTATTAGGTATCGATTCAATAACGATTTTTTATTGGTCTAATACCAGTTAGACCATTAAAGTATGAGCTGTCCACAATATCGATTCGTGTTGCGGTTGTCAAAGCCTTTTTCATCCGACCTATCAAATAAAAAGCCATGGATGCAAGTAAAGTCATGTATGATATAGACATGAGTAATCATCACGTTTGAAATGGTTTCGTTTGAGAAGGGTTTATAAATTAATAATAAATAAAAATTTAATGTTGGAACTCTATTAATTTGAGTTATTAGTAGGAACTAGGGGTGGCTATACGGTCTGGTTAGATTAAGTTGGTCTGAATTGATCCGGTCCCGGTCCGGTCTTTTCGAGAATATAAGGATCAAAGATTGGATTGGATACAGTCCGGTCTTGATCCGGTCCGGTCCCAATTCGGTCTTGATTTTAAATTTAGCTTGTGGGGATTTGAGTGGCCTAAGGCCTAAAAGGGTGAGAATGTTAAATTTTGGGTGTTGGGCTCTCTTATCCGTCTTTATTCGATTTTCGGTCCGGTCCCAAACGATTTTTTACCTCATATCTAGGCCCGAAAATTGGATTGGATTGTTTGCTATCCGGTCCCAAATCGGTTTCGGATACGGTCCGATTTTGGGTAAAATCAAATAGTCAGCCCTAGTAGGAACGAGTTCTTTGTAAAATCAAATAGTCAGCCTTAGTAGGAACGAGTTCTTTAATAATGTTTATTCTGGAATTAATTTCATTTTATAAAATGGCATTCTTTAAAATATAAAGAGTGGGTACGCTTTATTGCCAAAACAGCTATTTACTATAGCATTCTTTGTCGTCTTTTGCGGACTTCTACGAGCTGCTTCCTCTTGCTTCTACCTATCCACCTTGGCCTCCTTTCCCCCTCAGCTCTGGTTCGCCAAATCTTTCGTACACAGCAGGTTTGGTTGTACTTTTCCCCCAAATCCAGGAAAACACCTCTTCCTCGTCAATCTGCCACTCCAGTTTGCTTCTCGAGGCCGCTAGCTCCTTTGACACGCCAGCACCCATGTTTCCTCTGGTCATGTACAACGTCCTTATCTCTCGGATTCCGTGTCACTTCTTTGCATTCTTCTCTTTGAATTTTCGGTCGAAATCATATTGGACCCCATTCCCCAATTTCCTCTCCGTTCGGTTCTCGCCTGCGCTCCACTTTCCTCTTCCTCCCCACCCACCATGAATTATATCGTCCTCCCCACCTACCATGGACCGACAAGGCTCCGGCGCTGAAATTACGCCTTCTCCATGCATGTATTACTGGAAATACATGGTGCCAGGATGGATTTTCCGAGATTGAGATACTGTGGACGAATGAATTGGTGAGTTTAGTCTTCTTTGCACCCTCCTGCTCACGAAATTGCCTCCCCTTTCTTACCTAGATCTTTCCCTTTTTTACTTGGGTGTCCTGGTGCAAGGACTTGCATCGCGCCATGCATTGTACGACCGCAACAACGACTCCACTATGCTTAGGTGAAGAGATGTCTTCTCTGGTTACCTCATCTTCACCACAATGAACAAGAAAAGGTAAGAAGAAATCTCTTTCTATATCTCTCGCTCAGTCGACAAAGAGGAAAAGGGAAGAAAAATATCTCTCATCGTTTAATCCAAATTTGTTGGGCAGGAGGGCCCCGTGGTCGGCGATTATAGCTGGGAAACGAGGGATTCGAATATCTCGATCCGCAACCACCATGAATGGTTGGCGACTGAGGAGCCTGCGTCGGAGGGTCGGAGGAGAGTGTTGGAGAAAGGTGGCAGTGGCAAGGAAGGTGGAGGCCGATGCAGAGGAAGAGGATGCCGGCGACGGTGACACATTGGTAACGATGGCGACATTCGATTGGAAGTCTCGTCCGCAATTGACTTGAATTGCAACATTTGATTGTCCACCCAGAAATCGGCACGCTAAAAGAGTCAATGAGACTGACTCGTTGGATGAAAGCGAGAGATGCAGAGGAACAATGGCCGAAGAGGAGGGGCCTTACCTAAGAGAAAGAGGCGGACTCACTGGTGGTTGGTGAAGACGACGGTGAGTGGATTTTCTCTTTGGTGTTTTCTCCATCCTTTTTAGTCGTAGATTTGAGCTAAATTATGTCCCAAGTTCAGATCTTTGTTGGATCTGACAATGTGGGTTCTGAATTTTGATATTTTGCTGGTAGGAAGGAATGGCCATTTGGTACATACAAGAATTGTCTTGACCTTTTACTTCTAGCTTTTTCAATGCCATATGTGCCACTAGAGTTGTATATTCATGTTGAATTTCTATTTAATCATCATCTTTTTTGTGAAGTTTGTCTTCACGATGTCCTTTTTGTTTACTACAGGTACCAGGTTCTGTGTTCATGGATGATTTAAGTCCTTATTCTCGGCTGACAGTTCCCATGGTAGTGTTACTGGTGTTATAAAGTTTGAACTTGGACCTGAAATTACTCACAAAAAGTAAACTTTCTATCTCCATATGTATATGACAATCAACTGTTGTCAATCATCCTTCCTAAGCTTTCCATTTACACGGCAGCTATGTTTTGAGCAACTTCTATAATCACATAAATTGGTTTTTGTTAATCTCTTCCAATCGCATCTCCAGAGAATGAGATATAGAGGGATACAAGATTGACTCGGACTAGATATATCATATAATATAGTGCCTATTTTGGTTTGGTCGAATTTGCTTTGGGGTTTTCCTACCTTTCACTGATGTTGACCTTGGGAATGCAGATTAAATCCATTTGTAACAGCGGAATCAATTTCTGAAAGCTCAATGGTCATTGATGCTTTAGTTTCAAGCATGCATTCTTTTTCCGCTTTGTAATCCATGTCTACCGCTTGCTTATATGAATGTTGGGGAATATGACAAGGTTGTTGCCTGATTCTGTTAACTGAGATAACCGAATGCTTAACCCCTCTTTCTGTCGGTGGTGGGTAGGGTTGGTAGGTAGTTCGGTTGACCAATAATCGACCCTTTGGTTATCGGTTATAACCTATCCTACCGGCCTCCAAACCCCTACTTCCTTCCAGCTTACATTGTCTTCATAAGTGGGTGTTGCAAGATGTAAAAATGCAGGGGTTTTTTTTTTGCATAAGTGATGGATTCAAAATTGCGGTTGATAATGGAGGCCTACTCATATGTGATTTCGGCCTACAACAAGCAAGTTCTTGAATAATGGTACAACCCCATCCATTGCCTATTTCGCATTTGCTCATTTCAGTGCTTTAGCCTCTACTGTGAATTTCTGCCAGTTCTTTATCCTCAATTTCTTGCTATGATGCTGAGCGGTGGGATGTTGCTTTATCCGCTTTGATGGGAGAGGAACACGGTTAAGGAGTTGGTGCAGAGGCTTAATCTTATATTCAACGAGGTCACTCCAATTTCATCATTGTGTGTTACTCCAGATCGTGGCGACAACATACATGTCTAGCAGTACCAACAACACCTGCTGGTGTGATCTTATGTGTTACTCCAGATCCACAAAATTATCTTCTTCCTGCTCCCAATGCAGTTAAAATCGCGCTTTAAAACTTAAAATCTTACGGTTTTATGCTTCTAGGTCACTAAAACGCTTTCGTTTTCATGTAAAATCTTAAGTGCATAAAATCGGACTAAATTGTGTTTTAAAGCTTAAAAGCTTACGCTTTTACGCTTCTATTTCACCAAAACGCCTTAGGCTTTTACGTTTTTAGTTCACTAAATGGATATTCTTTTCATGAAATTAATCATAAAACGTATATTGTAAAGGTAAAACACCAACAATATGATAGATTTTATATTAAAAGATACATATAAGGTACTTGGATGCATTCTCAACTTGAGTAGAGTAATCTAATTCACTAGCTAGGTATTTCCCAAATTTATTAACATAGACAGGAAGGTGACTTATTGTTAAGATCTATGTTTATGAACTTATTGTTAAGATACTATGAGTTGCTCTACTTTAGACGTGAATTACAAGTATTTATTAACTTATCCAAATTTTGTGCACTCACATTTTACATAGTATATATCGTACTCAACAGATTTTTAGTTATTTTCCAGTATGCGTCAAAAACTTACGCTTTTACGTTTTGATTCTACGCTTTACGATTTGATTCTACGCTTTACGATTTTACTCATTTTCCGCTTCTAGATAGAATCGCGCTTTTAACTGCATTGCCTGCTCCTGCTTTGTTCGTTTGCTTTTTTTTTCTCTCAGATGTGCTTTCATAAATTTGTCGCAATTCATGATGTTGTTTGGACTTTATATTAGCTAAAGTGAAGCTTCAGGCCACTTCAAGTTGCTGCAGAATCAGAAAGTGACGCTTCCAGAATAGATGTTGCAACTTGGCTTTCTTTACCATTCTAGAAACAGTGCTTTAAATTCTTATTCTATCAATTCTGAATTCAGTTTTGCCTAATGTTAACTATTCCTGGCTTCTGCCGTTTGCAGGTGTTCTGCTTGCTTTACATTCTCTTTATTGTTGGCAAGAAACATGTTAGGTTTTGATCAAGCTTCTGAGGAGGAATTGGGGTTTGCATTTGCATTAAAAGAGTCCAAGAGGATACTTATGAAATTAAGTCCAGACCGTAAGAACAAACCAAATACAGAAGTGAAAGAAAAGAAATCCATGGTAGAATTTGCCAGAGCGCAGACATGAAGTTGTAAAGCAAGAAGAAGCTTTTCAATGTCTTAGTCTTCATGTTCTAAGTTTTCGTATTTATTAAATTACTATCGTTGGATATGGTTGATGATTGATTCTTTTTAATAAAGATTGCTAAAATTTTAGAAAGCTAGCCTAGGCATGTATTTATTTTTTGTATGAAGTAATGAGTTTCATCTGTCATCTCTAAAAAAGTTTTTTTTTTTTTTGGGTAGTTAGACTAATGTTTTGTATATAATCATTGTGTCTGTCATAGCAGGAGTGTTAGGTTTTTGAGTAAAACGTATGACACTTCATGTATATCATTTCTAACGTTTTAATTATACGTATATTGGGATCACATATACCAAACATGAATATGTGTCCTGCGGCGAAGCCGCGGGTATTGATTCTAGTTAGGGCTGCTAAACGGTTTTGCGGTAGCCGGTTTAACCGGTTACCGTACCGGTAACCGACGGTTACCGGTTAAACCGACTACCGAACTTAATGGTATGCGGCTGGGGATTAATGTGTTGGCGGTATGCCGTTACCGAGACCTGTACTTACCGTCGGCGGAACGGTAATCCGACACCGACGAGGAGTTCAATCCAGATTCCAGACCCAGCCCGCAAAACTTTCCAAGGCCAAGACGTAATAACCCAACCCTAAAAACTAAAAACCCCAAACGATCTCTAACTCTAATATACTACAGCAACGAGCAGTCTATCCCTCCACCCCAGACGTAAATCGTAATAATCCCCTGACTTCTGCACCGCCGTCCGCCGATCCCTCCTCCTCCATCGTATTCAACCAGGTTGGTCGTTGAATCAACCTCCACGCATCCACCCAGAGGCACGACGGCATCATCGTTGGCTCGTTGTCGTTGCCGTTGGTCGTTGCTCTGTTCCCGTCGAAGGCAGTCGTCGCCGTCGAAGGCAGTCGTCACCGACTCACCGTCCCTTCTCCGGCTGTCCGTCCATTTTGGACTTTAGAGGTAACCTGCGTAGGCATAGCCAGCTAGTGATAATTGTTTGATTATTGTTAGGATGATAACTTATACTTGTTTGATTATTGTTTGATTATTGTAATTTTGTTGATTTGTTGTTTGATTAGCTTAGTGCGACTGTGAGCAGAGGAGCAGCAGTAGCCAGCTAGTGATAATTCATAATTGCATCCATTAAGAAGTAAGAACAGTGTTAGACTTAGACCTCCACACCACACCATAATTGCATTCTTGTTGATCCAGTAGGCTCGTAGTCGCAGGTAGGTTACCTACCGTAGGTAGTTTAGAGGTTTATTTGATTCAATTGTTTGAGTTGTTTATTAAGTATTAACTAATAATTATTTTGTTGTTTGCTTTCATTTTTGCAGGTTTAGAAACTTGACAAACAAAGTACAAAAATGTAAGAGTTAGTTTGTTGTTTGCTTTTCATTTTTGCTTGATAAATTAATTAGTTTGGTGTTTGCTTTTATTTTTGCTTTTAATTAAGTATTAACTAATTTATTAACTTCAGTCTTGAGCTGTTTGCCTGTTTGCTTTTATTTTTTGCTTAATAATTAGTTTGCTGTTTGCTTAATAATTATTAATTAGTTGGTTGTTTGCTTTTCATTAAGTATTAACTAATTTATTAACTTGAGAAACCAAGTAAAAAAATGTATGAATTAATGTTTATGCTTTTTTTACATGTTGGCAATTTTATGATTTTTTACATTTTTTCTTTTTGTTGTAGGACGAAATCTTCTCGTCCTAGTAAAGGAGATGCTCCGAAAAAAAGTGGTTCCATTCCTCCTCGAACCACTTCCAAAAAAGTGGGTGCTCGTGTTGGAGCTGCAGAAGGGATTCAAGTGAATGTCTCATCTAGTACACCTACACCTACCAGTGCAATTACATCTCCACCTGCTACTGCACCTCCTGCAGCTGCCACGCCTACACAGGTGATTGATATGGGAAGGGGAGCAGATGAAGTGGGTGAGGCAAAGAAAATTGTGAAGGTGACAAAAAGGAAGAAGAAGTCCGTGTGGTGGACTCCTTATGATGAGGTTCTGGTGGATGACTACCCATATGGCAAATGCAAACAATGTGGAACGTTGATCAAAGCCCACTCGACCAATAACGGGACTTCTGGTTTGAAGCAACATCACTTGGCATGTGAGAGGAAGAGGAAGGAAGCCAGTGGTCAATCACTATTGAACTATCAACCTGGGGATGGTGAGGTAGGCTCTCTTACTCCATGGAAGTTTGATCAACAAAGAGCTAGAACTGCATTAGCTTTTATGATCATCTTGGATGAGCTGCCATTTCGCTTAGTGGAGCATGAAGGGTTTAAGAGATTTATGGCGGTAACACAACCATTGTTTATGATACCTGGAAGACAGACAATAAGGCAGGATTGCTATATAATCTTTTTGGAGAAAAAAGAGTTGTTATCTGAGTTCTTCAAATCCAAATGCAAAGGAAGAATTTCTATCACCACAGATACATGGACTTCTGATAACAACCAGAATTTCATGTGTGTGACTGCTCATTTCATTGGGAGTGACTGGAAGCTGCAGAAGAGGATCATTAGCTTTGTTCCCATCACTAGTCACACAGGGAAGGACATTGCAGAAAAACTGGCAGAATGTCTACAAGATTGGAAAGCAAAACAGTTGTTCTCCATTACCATGGATAATGCTTCTTCTAATAATGTTCTTGCAGAGTGTATGAGAACAAAGATGAAAGAGTGGGGAACAGATTTGATTGGTGGGAAGTATTTGCAATTTCGCTGTGTGGCACATATAATCAATTTGGTTGTGTCGGATGGGTTGAAGGAGGTTGGAGTTGCTGTAGAAAGGGTTCGAGATTGTGTTAAATGGGTGAAGTCATCACCAGGTAGAAGTGCAAAGTTCAAATCTGCCATTGATTATCTATCAATGGATGGAAGAAGACTTCTATCTTTGGATGTTCCAACTAGGTGGAACTCAACTTATTTGATGTTGGAATCTGCAGAAAGGTTTGAGACTGTCTTTAACTTCTTGCATGGAAGCCCCAATGATTCTGCATTTCGGGATTATGTGGACTCAAAGAGAGGTCTTCCAACTAAGGAAGATTGGACCAGTATTCGACGGCTAATGAAGTATTTGAAGTTCTTTTATGAGCTCACCTTTCGGGTGTCAGGTATGTGAACAAACATAACTCTTTTGTGATTCAACTTGTAATTCAAATAATTTGTGAATAATTTGTTGTTATTTTTGGATGTATCAGGAACATCTTATGTGACTGCTCATACTTTCTTTAAGGCTATTGCTGACATCTATGAAGTGATAGAACTTTTTAAGAAAGACATGGATGTAGAGATACAACGGATGGCAGCAAGAATGGAGGCAAAGGTACGAAAATATTGGTTTGAGAATGATGATGATGATGATGACGAGGTGGAGAACCTAAGGATAAATAGACTGGTTTACATGGCTTGTGTGCTAGATCCTAGGCGTAAAATGGCTTATTTGTATTGGATGTGGGGTAAGATGTATGGGAAGAAGAAAAGAGACGATTTGGTGAAAGATGTCACTGCAGAGATGACTGCATTATTTGAGGTTTACAGATTGAAGTATGCACCTCAACCCTCCGAGCCTACTGTTACCACTCCTAGTGCTGATGATGGTACTGGGTCTGCATCTTATGGAGGGACATTTGATGCTGAATTCTTCAAGATGAGAAAGGAGCAACTACAGAGGGGGATTCGAGGTTCTTCTGAGCTAGACATCTACTTAAGAGATGTTGATGATGCTATTAACGAGGATGATAATGATATGAAGTTTGACATCTTGCTGTGGTGGAGTAAGAACAGCGTTAGATATCCTATTCTTTCCCAGATGGTTAAGGATATCCTAGCTGTTCCAGTCTCCTCTGTTTCCTCAGAGGCTGCTTTCAGTTGTGGAGGTCGAGTGCTCAGTCCGTTTAGGTCTTCGTTGAGCCCCACCATTGTAGAGGCCTTGATTTGTGCTGAAGATTGGGTAAAGTATGAAGGAGGAAAGAAAGCAGACAAAGTTGATGATACAGAAGATGAAAATCAAGACCAAATCGATTATGAAAGTGGTAAGAATTCTTAATTTCATTTATTTTTAAGTTTTCCATTACTCCATTTCTGATTACATATTATTAGATGAAATGTAACAATTGTATTTTTTTTTTTTTACACTTAAGTCACTACTAACTTCCAAACTCGAATGGAGAGAGCTACTGCCAAGCCAAGTGAAGGTGTCAAACAAAGTTTACCTGTTGTGGTGGAGGAAGAAGAGGAGGAAGATTCAGACGAGGATGAGGAGGACCAGGATGAGGAGGACCAGGACGAGGAGGATAATGGTGATGATAACCTTCGCACCACTTTGAAGCAGCAAGGTTTTGTTGATGTTGGTGGTACAGGTCCTAGTGGCAAGTGAGGAGCTAGTAATTCTATTTTTTTATCTTCATGTCTTCGAATTTAATTTAAACATGTAGAAGCAGCAGACCAAATTGCTCTATTTGCTCTATTTGGAATTCTACGTACTACGTACAACTATAATGCTATATTTGATCTTATTTTTTAGTATTTTAATTTTTCAATTTGATCATTGATGTTTGGAATTTACTTGTTAGATTTATTATTTTCAATTTAATTTACTGATAAGCTTCATAAACATATATGTATTTTGTGCATAAATGATTTATCTTTATGTATGTATGTGTTTAAATTGCTCTAAATGAGTTCATATTGACTATGGAATGACCCTAGTGTCATTACCAAGACATGTAGCGATTTAACACAGATTGAAGCTAAGATTATGAACAAAACAAAGTGCAGTAGACGAATGCAGGTGCAGGGTCAAAATGCAGATGTGCAGAGGCAAACGTCCAGCAGGAGGCCAAATCGATGAAGACCCAAATCGAATTATTGTGGTTGGAATCTTCACTCAACTGTCAGCAACCCTTATAAATTATTGGGATTGGGTCAGATTTCTTGAAGTGAGCAAATGGATTTGGTGGCTCACCAATAGAGAAAATTATGCAAGAATTTATTGCAAAGAAAGAGATTTAAGCTAGCAGCTGCCTTCTCTTGGAAATGTGACCTGCAAGTGTCTTGTTTTGTGGGATTAAATCTGCAGAAAATGGATTTAAAAGGGGC